TTGACAGAAAAAACAAGTGGGAATAAACCTTTTCTTTGAATTGTGTTTCGTTGCTTCAACAGTTGCAACTGTTTGTGAGACAGAAGCTTGTTTAACAAAGTTGATTTTTCTGTTTTGATCTTCCTTTCGCTTTAGATCAACTTTGGGTAGCTGACTCCCTCCTATGCCTAGACGATTATAGTTTGGCTTGTTGTTGCTTAAGATTTCATCTAGATTACCTCTACCCAAGTTCAATTTTGCAATTGCTTCTTGAGTTTGAGTAAGTTTAGCCTGCAAACTATTTTTCTCTTGATCACTAGATATGATCCTTTCCTCAAGAGTAGAGATTCTTACCTTTAGTGTCTTGTTTTTCTCTACAAGCACAAACTTCTCCTTTTCCAGGAAGTTATTTACCTTAACGACGTCGAGCCATTTTTGGTACATTTTTTCATATACCTCCTTTACTTCATCCAAGGTTGGTTCTTCCTCATCACTGCTGCTGTTCGGATCCTCTGCAAAAGAAGAATTTTCGTTTAGATTTTTGTCATAATCAGAACACATATTTTCATACCTGGATTCTGTTTCACAGTCTGTTGCAACAGTTGAAGCAACAGTTGATTCTGAGTTGTCCAGAGGAACTTTGCTGCTGAATGCTACAAAGTTAGTGACTTGATCGTTGTTTCCTTGGTCATCATCAGATTCTTCTTCATCGCTCCAAACAGTAGTAAGTGACATTTTCTTCTTTTTCTTCAGGGTGTTTGCGCATTCTGATTGAATGTGACCAAAGCCTTCGCATTCTCGACATTGTATTCTTCTTGGTTTTGACTCCTCTGAGTTATCTTGATTTGAATTTCTCCTCGAATTTTGAAAGTTCACGGTTTTCCCTGTGCTTGGAAGATTTCCCCTTTTACCGATCTTTTTGAGAAATTTCCCAAAATTTTTCGATAGTATTGCCAAGGATTCCTCTACCGTCTCCTCATCTTCTTGAGTTGACGAATTTTGGGGTGTTGCATATGAAGTTTCTGCTTGAAAGGCTATCTTCTTTTCTCTAGGCTTTTCACGATGATTTTCACCATGATTGAGTTCTTGTGCCAGAAGTTTCCCCATGAGTTCGTCTAGTTTGAGCGTGTCAACATCTCTGACTTCTTCAATGGCAGCAATTCGGTAAGCAAATCTTTCAGGTAATGAGCGCATCGCCTTTCTCACCAATTTGCTTTCAGAGTAAGGTTCACCGAGTGCATATGATTCATTGGAGATATCACATAATTTAGCATGGAAGTCAGTGATCGTCTCATTCTCTTCCATCTTCAAATTTTCGAACTTGGTGGCCAGCATTTGTAACTTCGACGTCCTCACAGTTGACGTTCCTTCGTATGTGACTTGAAGGATTTCCCAAGCTCTTTTAGCAGATTCACATGACGCTATTAGTTTAAATTGATTATCATCAACACCACTAAATATTGCGTTTAGGGCCCTTGAGTTGTAGTTTGCGAGTAGTATCTCTACGTCACTCCAATCTGCTTCTGGTTTGAAAACTTCCATTTTGTCTTCTCCTTTGACCATGGGAGGTGTCCAACCAGTTATGATGGCGCGCCATGCTCTCTCATCTATGGATTTGATAAACATCTTCATTTTTGATTTCCAATATGAGTAGTTTGATCCGATTAGGAGAGGTGGGCGAGTAGTTGACGATCCTTCTCGTTGAGTATTCATATCTGCACAAAATAAGAATAGTTAGTTCCCAAAATCTCACTAGATGTATTTAGTGACAGGCTCTTGATGCCAATTGTTAGAATTATTTCGTGCAAATTAATTATATATTTGTGTCCGATGAATTCCAGATTCAGTTTTAAATACGGTTCTACTGTTTTACGAAGAGTTGCAACAGTTAATGGAACAGTAATAAAAAGACACAAATTTTAAAGTGGTTCGGATACAATTGTACCCTACATCCACGGGGACCTGCAAATGAAATTTACTAATTTTTAGTTTTACGAATACAATAATAGGACTTAATCGAAATGCAAAGACTCCCTCTTTGTCGACGCCGTTCTTGTATACTACGCTGAATTAACAATCTTCACTTTGCAGCACGTCCCTTGATCCGCACGGTTGAAATTCCTTCAACGCTGAGTCCCTCAGTCGGCGGGTCGACCTCCTCCCGAGATCTTCTGAGTTCTCCTCCCGAAGAACCGATCTTCTTTTCGCGTGAAAGAAGCAAATCTGTTACTCTGTTTTTCTTCTCGATTACGATCAAACACAAGAGCAGCAACGTGAAGAGCAGAAAATAAATTTTCTCTCAAATAAAAGGGACAACCTAAAATAACGTTGATGCTGCCCTTCTTATACTTCCTTAGGTGGATTAGTAGAGCCCTACACAAAAGTGGAGCCCATTAGGTTATTTTATCTCACGTAAGAAAAAGAGAGTTGTGTAAAACAAGGAAAGTCTTAGTCAATTAAATTCCTTGTTAATAAAACACTTAGGCAATTAAATAAATTAATGACAAAATAAGAGTTTAAAGAACTAAGGAAACTTCCCTAGTTTTTATACACGTTTTTCGCACACGTGTTGAAAAACCGAAATAGAATCCTCTCGGATTCTAACAAATCCAACCCACAAAAAAAGAAAAAAAGAAAAAAGGATGGTCATTTACTTTATTTATTTAATTATACAAAATAAATAAGGAACTAGAAAACTTAAATTGCACTTTCCAATAAAATAATGTACCAAATTCTTTAACTTTGAAATTTGAATTCGGAATTGTTACGCAACAAAGTAAAAGGGCATTTAACGCGCATTTAATTTAATAATAATACATTTAGAGGTAATTGTTTTTCCCCTAGACGCTTTGAATGCACGTGATATCATTATCTTCAAAAACTATCGTAAATAATAAATTACGAAAAAGGGAATCAAGTCAAACTGGTCACTTTCTTCAACAATATTATTTTATTTATTTTTTATTATAATATATGTTATAAAAAAATGAACGTAAATGAATAAAAATACTAATTTATTTTTCTATGAAATCAAAATGTGTCAAAAATGAAGAAAAATATTTGTAAGTCTACGAAAAGGGCAGAAATGGGTATACAGTTGTCGGTCAAATGTCTGCTTCTGTTCAAAATCAGATCCTTTCATTTGTTGCACATTCTGTGACAAGACAACTAAAACGTTTTCAAAAAGCTCAGGATAATCTAATGTACAACCGTCCCAAATCAATTGTTGTACTCTTTATTTTTTTGTTTTTCTTTTATGTTCTATGTATACGTAGGACCCGCAATTGAGTTGGGCTTTACTGAAATCCGATGGCTTCGGCCCGATTATAGTTAAGTAGAGCCTTATGTTTTAGTGAGTTGGAATGAGTTTGACCCATTTTATTAGATCCGATTAATTTATGAGTCAAGTTTGAGTCTATAGTGGCTCAACTCGAATAAGATCGTTTTCTATTATAGAAAGAAAAGGAGGTCAAAATTAAAAGGAATTAAGTGTTGACGGTTAATAGTCAAATATGTATCAAGTGAACAATACTCACCTAAACCCAATTGCTGAAATTATCACCGAGATTTGAGAATATAAAATGTTTCCATTAATAAAATATTCTAATAAAATACATAAATCGAACTTGAGCCTATTATAACGAGGGACGATGGCATTTAAGCATATGCCTATAGTAATAAAGTCTGATGATATACGAGTTTCAGCCAATCTAAGTTCGACTCGCATGGCATGATTGTCATCCCTAGTTTAGATGAACTTTAGATTTCTTTGTTTCACATTGTAATATATAATACAAAATATAATTGGTTAAGCCAATTTTATATTTTAATGTTGAAATAGTAGGATAATACTTTTTTTCAATTTATATGATCTAAAAAATTTGTCACATAAACCTAAATTAGCAACTAAAAGTATGTCACGAATTTACCCTCTATGGGGTGGTAAAAGTAAAACCCCCAAAATCATTGCAACTAAATCGAAGAAGATTGGAAATAAAAATATCTTCTCCCTATGTTGCAAATTTGTTATCATAAAAAATACATTTCTTTTAATTGTTTGACAGTTTCAACGTCAAATTCAGCTTAAACAATTACAACTAATTGCGACTTCCAACACATATGATCTTGATAAACATAAACACTATAAATTAATAATATAATAAGGATAAATAAACCTAACATAAAACACTTATCTTTAAAGGGCAGAAAACCCTAACCTAAGTCCTAACCTAACCTTTAATTTGTCTGGAAGGCCAAAAAAAAAAATATGGAAAAGAGAAAAAAAAAAAAAAAAAAAAAAAGAGTATAGTTTATGGACCACAAAAATGTGCCTGATTTTTATTTTATTATTTTTTATTTTTTTATGTTTAAAAATAAAATAAAATAATAAAAATAATTGAATAAGTTTCGAAAAAAGCTGCAATGTGATAATTAAAGTGATATAAATTAGAATGAAAAACTCTCTTTTTGGCTAACCATCCCATTCCCATGTGATTCGATTCTTTAATTATCACGCGAAAGACTTAAACATCTTTACTCTAATATATTCGCATATGCTTTTACAATTTGCAACAAACCAAAAAAATAAAAATAAAACAATATATTTTTATTTATATTTTATCTTTCAGTGAAACGGTATTTTAGATTTTCAATTCTGCATTTAATGTATTTTTTCACGAAGGATATTTTAGTCATTACTATATATTTTCTAATATCAATACACATTTATTGACGTTCTTAATCCCTATAATGAACTTTAAAATCCATCATAAAAACTCAAAAAAATAACTAAAAAATCAAAAGCTATGTTTCAAATTAATTACAGAAATAATATATCCAAACGAGTTTTAACAAATATATTATTATTAATCTCAAATCCTTCATCCTAATTCTTCAATCCAAATGATTTCCTAGATGACCAACTGACCAACCAAGATGTGAATATGAAATCGAATATGCCTTTTTTGCCCCCGAGCTATTAAAAAATGGGCAGAAAGGCCCCCAAGATGACGGGCCTATAATAATCCGTTAATTATGGACCTTCGTTGAGCCCGTTTCAAACTGATGGGTTAGCCCAATTTGATATTCACATTTATAAATCAAAGTTTAAACATTTATTTATTTATTTATTAAAAACAAAACAACTGTCAACCCGATCAGTACGACGCCGTTGGCTTGAATTCTAATTTCTAAACCGTATTGCCTTGGAATGCGCTGGAAAAGCGAATATATAGTTTCACCCAGCACACACCCTAGTTATGGGCGCACTTTAGCGTTTGTTGCAGTGTTGTCGTCAAAATACGCACCTCCACCTTTCCCTAACTAATTTCTTCGTCTTCTTCTAAACCTCACTCACTCTTCGAATTTATCCTCAAAGCAGAACTTGAAATTACAGTTACCAAATTGTTCCACTAGTCTTCGATTTCGATCTCTGCGCAATTTATTTGGATCCTGAACGCAGAATGTTGCTTCGCAGCTCAATTTATGTTCGTTGTCGTTTCAATGAACGGTGAGTTTTACATTTTGCTGGATTTTTTTTTTACACTGGATTTGGATTTTTGTTGTTAGCTGACGGCTTTAAGATTTGTGTCCTTTTTTTATTATTTTAATTTATTGATATTTTGCGATGTTTTCGTTGCTGGGAAGATGTGGGTTGAACATTGTTGAATAGAGTGAAATTTCAAGCCCTAGTTACGATGGGAGGAGATCTTTTGTTTCTTTAGCTTGATTTGGAATTATGCTATAAATGTTAACATATTAGCCTAACTTTGGATTCATTGGATTAGAGATCATTTTTAGAAAATTGTCATGATTTTTGTTACTTGGTTGAATTTTGATTCAGGGACTGTGCAGTTTGTTGATATGTTCCTGTTTAGCTTCGTGCATATACGTACGTACATTTGAGCGATGGTGGGGGAAACTGTTATAAACACGTGGTTTGGTAATATATGGAAGAGTTCTCGTATAAGTATGTCATGGGAGCCTGAGAGGCCAGTGCCTGGAGTTTTAGCATTCGAAATATCGAGGTTGATGTTAAAGTTGGTGAATATATGGCAAGATCTCGCAGATGGTCAGCTTGTTAGGTTCAGAGAAGAGATTGCAAACTCAGTTGGCATCCATAAGCTTGTTTCGGAAGATGATGATTTTCTTATGGATCTTGTTCTTGCGGAGATCATTGGGAAATTGGGGAGTGTGGTGAAGTCAGTGGGTATGCTTGGAAAGAAGTGCAGAGACCCAATGTATCACAATCTAGAAGGAGTTTTTAGCGATGTAGATGAGATTGATCCGAAGTGGTACGGTTGGCAATATAAGCCGAAGAAGATGGAAAAGAAGGTTAAGAAAATGGAGAGTTTTGTGGCGGCAACTGAGCAGCTGTATCAAGAGCTCGAAGTGTTGGCTGAGCTTGAGCAGAATTTGAGGCGGATGCGAGGTGGTGGTTCAGATACAGGCCAGGTGAAATTGCTCGAGTTTCAGCAGAAGGTAGTGTGGCAACGCCAGGAAGTGAAGAATTTTCGGCAAATGTCTCCTTGGTTCAGATCGTATGACTACATCGTCCGGTTTTTGCTCAAATTTATCTTCACAATTGTCGAGAGGATCAAGAATGTTTATGGGACTACACAGAGTGGAAATATCGAGGGAAGCAGTGATTGCCTTATTCGTAGTAATTCCATCTCTGCCCCCAAACAAACATCAGTTCATCCATCAGAAACCAACCTGTCTAGATTCGCAGTTCCTTTTGGAAGGTCTTTATCAAATTTGGGCCTGGGATGTGACAAAAAGAAATCAAAGAACATGAAATCCCATTCGCGATCTCAATCATTTATCTTTTCTGGGAAACAACATTTATTGAAATCTAGACTATTTGCTCCAGCTGGCTTCGCGGGATGCATGAATAGCGGAAGAGAATCTCCGGTTCTAGAGAGTTGCAAACCATCATGTAGTGGTTCATTCAGGCCAAACGACACTTCTGTGAAAAATACCAAAGATGTTAGAATTTTACACGGCAACATAAATTCCCCAAAAGTGTCTTTCTTTAATTCCAAGCTCCGCCTATTGGATGCTCCTCCATCTACTCTCGGTAATGCTGCATTGGCCCTTCATTATGCAAATATTATCATATTGATTGAGAAATTGGCTGAATCACCTCACTTGATTAGCCTCGATGCAAGAGACGATCTTTATAATATGTTACCCGAAACTATCAGAAGCTGTCTGAGGGCAAAGCTGAAGACATTTTCGAGAACTTTAGTTTCGTCTGCCTACGATGCTGCTTTTGCAGCAGAGTGGAGATTAGCACTCGCAAAGATTTTGGAATGGCTGTCTCCACTCGCTCACAACATGGTAAGATGGCAATCTGCTCGGAATTTCGAGAGGAAGAGATTGATTTTTGGGTCGAGCGTGAATCTTGTGCAGACCCTTTACTTTGCAAACCAAGTGGAGACCGATGCTGCAATTGTAGAGCTTCTGATGGGCTTAAATTATCTCTCTAGATTTGGCAGTGAAATTAATCAGAAACCGTTCCAAGAGGTAACATGTCCTAGAAGATGATTGATCATAAACATACTTGCAGAAATCAAAGGTACTCTTCTAATGCTGCTTCTTTATTGAAAGATCAAAATTTAGCAGATGCTATGTTTATTCTCCCATAAATAGGCTTGGTCTTCCATGTGATGATTAGCTTTTCTCTCTCAAGTTTACTGTTAGAAAAAAAATCTTGTGAATTTTTAGATTGAATTTACCGTACCGGTTTTATCGTATTTTGTGGATTAATATAGATACATGGAAAATAAATCAACCCCAATACAAAAAATAAAAGGAACTATAGAATTCACAAAAATGAAAATTTATTCTCAGCCACAATACATGTATGCAGTATACCTGCTATTTGCTGTCCTGACTTGCAACGCGTTTTATTAAGAATTTCAAATACACGGGCGCTATTAGTTTTTATTATTGAAAAATAAACAAGCAGCTTTTCTTGAATTTAACAGGCCGCTAAATTTGTGCATCTGAATATTATTATCCTCTGGGAGTGGGAATTGCTTTCAAAGGCACCATCTTGCGCATAGTCAATCCCACCTTTTCAGTCATATCTACCGACTCTGGCTTGATACCAACTCCAAGTTTCCAATCAAAAGAGTGCACCAAAGTGGCTAGTGTTAAGCTCACCATTCTGTGACCCAATGCCAGCCCAATGCAGGTTCTTCGACCCGACCCAAATGGGAGCATCTCGTAATGCTGGCCCTTATAGTCCACATCCGAGTCCAAGAATCTCTCCGGTTTGAACGCAAGCGGGTCGACCCACGAACCCGGATCTCTTTGAATTGCCCACGCGTTCACAAATATCTGTGTATCTTTCGGCACAATGTAGCCCATGAACTCTGTTTCTTGCATGCAGTTCCTCGGAAGCAGCAAAGGGAAAACAGGGTGCAGACGCAGGATTTCCTTCACAGTCGCCTGCAAATAGGGCATGTCGCTTAGGTCACTCTCTTCCACTTTACGGTCACGACCCACGACCCTATCCACATCTTCTTGGAGCTTCTTCATTGTATCCGGGTTGCGAAGAAGCTCACTCATTCCCCACTCCACTGTGCTGCTTGTCGTTTCGGTTCCTCCGAAAAACATTTCCTGTCGGACCATAACATGGAGATATATATATATATATACATTATATTATTTCCAAATATTTCCTAGCTATACGGAAAACGACAAATATTTTAGTTACTTACGAGGAGGACGATGTTGATATTCTTGACAGTGAGCTTATCTGGCCCCTTAGCTTGGTCATCACCTTCATCATCCAACAAAGCATCCAAGAAATCATGGGTTTCCTTCTCTTTCCCAGATTTCTTCTCTTCAATCCTTTCATTCACAATTTCAGAAGCAATCTCCAGCAATCTCTTCAAATACTTCTCACTATTTCTCCGGATCTTTTGCGGGTCGACCCATTTCAAGAAGGGCAAGAAATCCGCAATGTTCGGCTTCCCAGTCCACTCCATGAACACAGTGAACACATCAAAGAACTCGCTCGCCTTCCCCATCTTCGAGTCCATCACATCCCTTGACAGCATAATGTTACCAATAGCGTTAAAAGCAGTAACAAACAAAAACCTGTCAAGTTCAATCTCGCCGGAATATTCTCCATTCTCATTCTTTCCGGCTTTCTCCGAATCCTCCTTGATCCACTCCACCAAATTATCGACACACTTCTGCCTCAATATAACTGAGGCGTTGATTCTCTTGTGAACCAGAAATTCTGTGGTGCAAATACGACGTAGTTTCCTCCAGTAGGCGCCGTAGGCTCCTATGGCGACGGAACCCTGGTGGTAGTCCAAAGCGGTGAGGGAATCTGGCACTTTCCGGTCGGCAAAAGGGAGGTCGCATTTCTTGAAAAGCTCCGCCGCTGCTTCAGCCGATTGCACCACAATGGTGTTGATGGTGCCGAGTTTTAGCAAGATAATTGGGCCGTACTTGGGGGTGAACTTCTGTAATGTCTGGTGGGGCACTTCCCCGAGATCGAACATGTTTCCGATCAACGGCCAGCCTGGTGGGCTTCGTAAGATTTAATCGGTTCATGGTTAGATTAAATCTTATGATTTACGATCTGATTCTTACGATTTTACGAATTAAATTATTATTTTGTTGTTAAAATTGAATTAAAAGGATAGTAGACTTTAATTATAAATAGTTAACTCGATTAATACGTTCTTGTCAGTGGTTGAACTTAATCGATTCAAAATTTTGAATAATATTTACAAATTAAAAGGATTTGCGCTTAATTGATTCAAATCATACGCTTTAATTAATCTTATGATTTGATTCTTGCGTAATTTAGGAATTATTTTTTTATGATAAAATTGAATTAAAAATGTATTACACTTTAATTAATAATAGTTAATTTGATTAAGACGTTCTTGTCAATAGTTGAGCGCGCTCATGAATCGATTCAAATATTTGAATAATGTTTACGAATTGAAAGGATTTGAGCTTAATTGGTTCAAATATTACGCTTTGATAAAATATTATGATTTACGATTAGGTTCTTACATGTGTTAGGAATTAAATTTATTATTTTTTATGACAAAATTGAATTAAAAATATATTAGACATTACATATAAATAGTTAAATCAATTATGTAACATGTTATGTCAATAGTTAAGCAACCGATTCAGATATTTGAATAATGTTTACTAATTA